GGTAGGCTTATATGCGCCTTCAGCTGGCTGCCAGGTGGCAGCAGAAGCCTTCCTCCAGTCTGCTGAAATGGAGCAGTTCTGAAGGCTTTGAGTTTGCATTACTGCTGCTGAAGAATTTTCTTTTGTAGATGGCAGACCCTCGTCAAATCACTCTTGGATTTTCTCTTTATTAACTAAATAGTTAAATAGGTTAAGTGCCTTGAATTTTCCACTAAAAGGCAGGTTTTCTAAGCGTTTAGCCATTGTTGTTGCTCTTTTGTGAACCATCTTCAATTTTTTTACTTTATCTAAGAATCCTTCTTGAATCTTGGATGCCAAAATTGGACATGGTATTTCATATAGAAGCAATGACACCTGTGTCAAGTGTATAGACTATATAACTTACCCCACTCCTAGTGGATACCCAGATTTTACATCCAATAATTCCATTTACCCTTAATTTGGAGCATTGCACTGGGAGCCCAAAGTCTGCAAGTAATCCTCTATCACTCGCAAATCCTTTTCAGTCAGTGCTTCTCAGGATAGGATCCCCCACCCTGGATGTATTACCTAGATTGTTTGTTACAAGATATATGCATTTACATACATTGCTTTACCTGTGTGCAGATGAAGGACTGATGGAGTGATCCAGAAAGCTTTGCATCAGTAACCTGTCTTTTCCCCACTAATATTTACCACATCTCTACAATTCTTGTATCAGCTGCAAACTTAATCAGTAATTACCCTATTTACTCATATGCCCCAAATAAGACACACGCTTGCTTTGGGGCAAAATGAAAATAAAAGATTTTTTCCCAGAAACTTCCCTGTCACAGCAATGGGCTCACTGTGCCTGAATCCTGGCCTCATGAAGCAGGGGCTGTGCCCATTTATCAGTATCACTCACTCTCCCCCCCTGCAGTTCCCCAGTTTAGCATTCTCACAGCTGCTGCTGAATTGCAACGAGAAACTGAGCACAGTAAAGCCCAGTCCCCAGCAGCCTTTCCAGCATCCCTAGTCTTCCATTCCTCACTTAAGATACATACCGCAATTTTGGATGACTCTTTTTTTTAAAACAGTACAGTAGGTATGCAAGTGCATACTATTTGGGTTTCTTCTGGTCTGCTACTAAAAATGTCACATGGTGCTAGGTCTCCACACAAGTGTAGCTGCTTGAGGACAATCCTTTACATGCAGTCACATTTTAAGAATTAATCAATTGAAAATGTTCTACCTGGACTTGATATGCTTTCAGTTTCATAATCAAAATGTGGTACAAAATGAAATGCCTTACAGAAATCTATTTTATCAACACTTACTTTTGCCAGCTACGTTTATAAGATCATGTAAAAGATATAAAGTTAGTTTGACATCATTTCCTCATTAAATGCATGTCGAATGCCATTAATTATATTAGATTTTAATAATTTATTAATCAAGTCCTGTGTCATTCATTCCATTATTTTGCCCATGTTTGAGGTTAAGCTGATGAACCTACAATTGTCTGTGTCACTCTGTTTATACATTTAAATACCAGCATAACATTGTCTTTCTTCCAGTCTTACTAGGGACTGTGTTCCAAGATTTATTGAAAATCTGTGTTACAGCTGTAAAAAAATCTGTTACACGGTAATTTTGGGCAGCTCCTGGAGCTCATAAACCCTGGATAGTCCACACATTAGCACCTTAAAGTGGTTTTGAACAATTTGCTATGCAGCTCAAAGTTATGCCACTCCAGGATAGGATTATCTCTCATCTGCACTACCCAGCTCCTGTTCCATTATGGTGTGGCCACTCCCCACATATGTGCCCTACAAGCTGAAGTCCTCCAGTGTCCCAGGATCTCTCCCACCCTCACCTGTACAAAGGGTAGAAGACAGTCCTGGCTCATCAGCTCTCTAGTGACAACTCACAGCTACAGCTTCTGGTCTTGTCCCTGCTCACCTGGCCTCTAGTGGCAAGTCACAGCTGTGCAGGTGGGGGCCAGTCAAAGAAGGTTGCTAGACTAAGGGTGTGACTGTGCCAAACTCCAAGATTTTAGTAACATTGGTCAACATTTGTGCGGCTCACAGTGTAAGGTGTAACAAGGTCTATGAACCTCCTCATCCAGCTCTTTTAAAATTCTTCAGAGAGGGTTATCTAGACCTAGTGATCCAGTTTTAATAGTTGAAAAGTTGTTAACATTCTCCTGAAAAAGGTAATGCAGCATGTGATCGATTGCTTTTTAAGCAAGAGTGTCTTTGCTTTGTGCAAGTTGCTGTAGGGTATGATCAAACTCCCTTTTCAACCTCCAGGCCCTCTTGAATTTATAATTTTCAAAGTTCTAGTTAAACTTGAACGTTTATGTGCCAAGGAAGAGAAGGTAGAGGGAGCCATAAGCAACTCATGGAATAGCAAGGCTTAATATGGACTGGAGAAAGAAACAGATTAAAAAGCAAAGGCCATGAGAACATGAGCAGGAGCAGAAAGAGGGGAAAATAAAGTCTAATGAAAAGAAAATAATACAACATAAGACATCTGTTAATTTTGACACTCTAGCTTTGGGTCAGTGCTTTTTGTTCCCTAACTCATGCCCCTCCCCACCCCTTTAGTTTGAGTCATTCTGTTGTTTTAATTAAATAAAATTTAAAATTTCAGGAAGAAAAAGGCCTTTATAGACTTGTATTGTGTCAATCCAGTGAGAGTTCACAGAACTTTAATTCCAAGAGATCTGTGCATTTCTAGTAACATTATGCTCTTAAACAGTGACACTGGGTTCTGTAATAGTGATGGTTGCATTTCAGTTGGTTATTCCTATAAGTTTTGTTAATTTTTATTAAATGTTTTGAGATGCTTTGGGGTGAAAATGGATGAATTAATTTAAGAAGTAGTTGTATTTAACTTATTACTGTAGTGAATTTCAAAAGGGAAATGCTGGATTTGTTTGTTTTTGCTTTTGGCTAAATCCAAACTTGAAATATGGCTTTGACTTTACAGGAGTGCCAAAAAATTGGCATTCAAACTGTTGTAGGACTAACACAGTTTTACAGTGAAGTGAATTAGGACAATTGCAGCAAACTCAAGTTGTCTGCAGCAATTTTTTTCCCTTGAAAATATTCCAGGGTAGAACAATGTGAAACAATGACAATATAATTGGCTTTTAATGGGCTGATTTCAAATTTGAAATATTAGTAATCAAGGGTCGAAATGGAAAAGAAAAGAAAATATTGGTTCTCTTCCAAGCATTAGCTGAAACCAACGTAACACTAAGATGAGATAATAAAAGGAGTCTCCATTCACGGTAGATAACTTCCATAATATGACCTCCCAGAGGTATAACAAGCTCTTTTGGGGCCAGGGAAGAGCAGGGTGCTAAGGCACAGTCTTACTCCCTGGACTCTGGCAGTGGTTGCTGCTGTGGGGTTGGCTCAGGCTACTGCAGTTGAAGCATGGGCTTCCTGCGCACCATCTGCTGCAGCTCCATGTGTGGGCTTTCTGGGGTCCACCAGACTGGCAGCCCCTCAAAATCATTGCCCTGGGCTGGTGCCCTATTTACTTTCCCTCTGCCCCAGAACCTACTGTGGCCATTCTTCTTACTTTATTATTAAATTACTTTCCTGTTACCTTATTGTTTATAGTAGTTTATCTTAGACATATCTGAGTGCTTAGAATTTTGACCACAAAAATACAACCTCCAAAAAAGTACAGAGTGTTTTTGAGGAACAAAGGGGATTTTTCAAAAGGTGTTAGATAAATCATCCTTACTGCTTATCCTTCCCTTGATAGTACCAGCTACTCCAAAAACACATTTTGTAGCACAACATAAGTCTTGACATTCAGGGATAAATGCAGTGCTAGTTTCTAATACATCTCAGTGTAGTAAAAAGAGGAAGAAACCAATTTTTCGCTACTGAATACATAGACTATGTTACTTGGAGTCAACTCATTTTCTTCTGAGAACATTATATAAAAGCAAAATCAAGGGCAATTGCCTTATTGATAAGGCTGTTTACTATGTAACTTGTGTCCATTGGTATTGGTATGAATCATTTATAGAATCTTTAAAAATATTTCACAATAGTGAAGATTTACTGTAGGGTTCAGCTAGTCAGATCAGATCTACATTCAGTTGGACACAGCTAACTAAATTAAAAATCATGGTTATTGGAAGGGAACTTCTCTGCAGCTTGTGAATTATAAATTTTTCTCTATAAAATGCATGTAACTATACATATAGCAGTTTGGTAAGTTGTCTTGTCATATAGACATAGTTACATAAACACAGATCTTCGAGGATATAATTTGTCCTTTATGTTTAACCCAGTAGATTATTCTGCAACCTCTTTTTTATTTACTCTTTTGCACTGAATATTATGCTTATACAAAATATTTAGGTTTACATTGAGAAAATGAAATCCTTTATCCACAGGAATGTTAGTGATACTTTCTCTTCTCCTACTGTTATTGTCCTTATATGTTATGTTTCGAATGTTAGTGTAATCAATAACCTGCTGTCTGGTATAGGTACTGTTGTGGCAAACACTTTGCAAACACATAGTGAGACATATGTTTTCGGAAGAGACTGCATGCTGTTTTAATCCAAATAAAGCTAACTGTTGCATCTGTGAGTGGCAGTTATGCTACAATAAGTACTTTCTTGCTACTTTGTAATAGTTTGTTAAGCAGAACCACTGACTCAACACTTGCAGAGGTGGTTAGTTGCTCCAGAGCTATGCAACATCTGTTCTGCCAGGAAATGCTAAAGGCTCTGATGATTGAAGTCATTATTATATACCATAGAGATGGTTTTGCTCTTTTGTTAAAATCTCAAAATGGTCCTAGTAATCCCATCACACACATAATTTAAAATAATTCAGACATTAGAAAGAGGAATGATCTTTTTCTATTATTTGTATATTTTCTCTTAACTATTGAAAAGGCTCCTAATATTCCCAGATAGTTTGTTAGTAAAACAAGTATTTTGTTATTTTTCCTGCAAAGCATGGCCTTCCTCTAACCTGATTTTATTTTATTTTTTTCAGGTTTTGTGGATTTAACACTCCATGATCAGGTCCATCTACTGGAATGTGCCTGGTTAGAGATACTCATGATTGGCTTAGTCTGGCGTTCAATGGAACATCCAGGAAAGCTCTTATTTGCACCTAATCTATTACTAGACAGGTTAGTTTGATTATTAGTAGTATGATTTAAATCAAGGCTGTCCAACTTTTGAGCAGCTGTGGGTTGCCCCTGCCCCCATTGCCACCACCCCTGTGGTTTGCAGTGCCTTGTCCCTTTAGGGCAAGAATAAAAAATGGAAGCTGGAGCAGGGTGGCAGGGGGAGGGGGGGAGCCTGGAGACCCCAGTGGCCTGAAGGGAAGGAGGAGGCAACAGCGGCAGCAGCAGCAGGTGGGAAGGGTGTGGGCCGGGGGGGAGTGGTGCCCAGGGGGGAAGTTCAGAGAGCAGAAGAAGTAGAAGTGGGCTGGAGCCTGCAGGCTATAAGTTACCACTCAAGTGCTTTATGCAACCTGTAGGCTGCCAGTTGGACAGACCAGATTTATATGAATGTATGTCTCCTATCACTACTGTCATTTTAGTTTTCAGCCATCATATCACATGCCATAAATGCAGCAAGACTGCCTTAGTTAATATGATAAGGTGGACTTTGTTTTTGCCTACCATACAGAGTTTGGCTGCCATGTCTCTTTTGGCAAATGGAATGAAAAAATCATCCTGTAGTTGATGTAACTAGCCTGGCAAAACCCTTGGGTGTGAATGCATGTATGCCAATGAAAGAAGGCTTCTAATGACTTGGTTTATGTAATTAAGGGAAATGGAATTAGCAGAGGGGCCCCATCTGCATATGTCTCCACTAGGGTCTCTCTGCCAGCATGGCTATGGTGCACTGCTAGAGCAGGAGAGACATTATAATGTAGACAAGCCCTTCTGAAGAAGAATAGAGGTGGCGCAGGAAGTGGGGCTCCTGATTTAATAGGTAGCACTCTTGCCTCGGAGATACTGTGCTGCTACAAGGTGCTCTGCTGCTGGCTATGCTTTTGTTCAAGGGGAGATGGAAAGCTGAGGTACTTCCTTTTTACAGTAGAAAAAAACCTCATTGATGTTTTTGCAAAAGTAGGGGCATTAACTCAAGTCCTAACCAGATTCTATTTTAGTTAAGTATTTCTACCTACCTAAAATCCTCCCATATGTTTTCAGTTTGGAGTAGTTGATTCAAACAGCCAGTCAGATCTGTGGGTCACTTGTGGCAGAATATTTATTGGATAAAGTCTTATTTATTTACACAGAATTTACAATGTCCCATTTTCCTGAACACAGAAGATAGCAAGCAACCATCAGTTTCTTTGGTTGTGGCACAAAACTGTTTTCAGCTGGCACCCCCGTGGAAGGAGGGGGAGAAGTGGTGGGTTGGGAACTGTCTTTAGGTGTTTCTTAGAGCTGTGTCACCAACTGAGTTTTTTTCCAGGCAATCTCACATTCTTGCAAGTCTTTCTTTCTCTCTCTCTCTCTGGGTCCTTCTGCTTGTTTCTTTATTTCCTAGACTGCAGATAGGCCAAACAATTATACTGCTATAAAGGGAGGGGAGGAGTTATTATTCATAAGGTTCCATCAGTTGATCCCTGGTAATTTTTTTTTCTACCTGCTCCTACCCAACAGAAGGCAGGGCAGGGTGGTGCCTTAGGATGGCTGTACACAAGCATAGAACCTGCTCCAATTACAGTGCATCAGAACAGACTTGATTAATCAGGTCTGCTTAGGGGACCTCAGTAGGGTTGGGAGGGACCTCAAGAGGTCACCCAGTCCAGGCGCCTACTCAAATCCTTGACTAAACTGTCTTAGTCAAGTGCTTATCTAACCTGCTCTGAAAAACATCTAAGGATGGAGATGGACCCAAGACAGACCCCTCAAAAAGCCCAAGCCTGAATTGATTCAATCCTTGTAGTTTGTCTAACCTGCATAGATTTAACTGATTTGCAAGTGATTAGACATTCACTTTTGATCCTGGAACTGCAGCCACATGCCTGCAGTGGCTCAGACTAGAAGCTGGGGGTGCTAGAACAAGCCCTCCCTTCTGTTCAGCAGCAGCCACAAGGCTGAAGGGAAGCTGAGCTTGGGTGTGTGTGTGGGGGTGGGGGGGTGGCCAGACTCTGGCAGGTCACTGAGTATGATTGGGGAGGGGTTTAAACCTCTACCCTGCCTGCAGGGACCACAGCCAGGGTGCACCTGGAGGGGAAAGGTGGAAGCAGCCCTTGCCAGGCTTGCCCCCAAGATGGGGGCACGGCCAGACACCAGCCATGGCAGCGCCTCAGGTGAAGCAGGGGCAGGGAGGGGGATTAAACTCCCCTGTCTCTCCTCTCTCCCATGGGCACAGGGATCCCAGCCAGAGTCTACTCGGCTTTCTGCCCTGCTGGTCACTTCCACAGTAGTGGGCATGGCCATAGTTGGCCAGCATGACGTCACCATCCACCTGCTTTTCCCAGCACTAGGGCTGGGCCACAGGGGCAGGGCACTTCCTAGCCAAATACAGCTCATGCTGGGGCTGCAGGAGCTGTAAGCCTAGATTGCTCCTGGTTCCCATGCCCAGGCTGGGTTGGAACTGCAGCCAGCTGGGAAGGGCTCTGCCTCCACAACACAGCTTGCCTGGCCTGGCCTGGCCCCTGTGTGCCTGCTCTCAGCAGTGCCCACAGCCCTTCTCAACTGGCTGTGGCTCTGTGACAGGCCGGCCCAGTGTGCATGGGCAGCAGGTGGCCGAGCAGCAGCATGGTGGTGATGCCGCTGTGGGCAGATACCTTGGCAGCTGAACTGACCATGACCATGTAGGTTAAGTCCATTGTGCCTGTGGCTACTTGGACCAACTTGGAGGTTCCTGGCAGCTGCCCACCATGGGGGCTTGTGTGCCCAGAGGCACTGCTGCTGTGCCTCCTGCATGGTGCTTGCTCAGCTACAGACAGATAAACAAGCACTGTGGTGGGGGTGTGGTGACAGCTGTTGGCACACGAGCCCTTATGGCAGGTTTGGGCCTGCCAGTGTCTCCAAGCCAGCCTAGGCAGCTGTGGGCCTAATGGACTCATCCTGCATGGCCAACCTGGCTGTCCGGGCACCCATCCACAGCTGCGGCAGTGTCACCTCTGTGCCACTGCCTGGCCAGCCCTGCTCATGCGTGCCAGGCTGAGCTGTCATGGAACTGCAGCTGGCTGGGGAGAGCTTCCAAAAGGAAGTACTAAAGCATGGCACTATAGCAATGCTGCTGTACAGCAAAGTATAGACACACACTAACTGTCTAAGCAGGCTAATATCTTGTAGAGAACTGTTAGCTCCTTCTCTCCTTCTACCCTAACCATGTACTGCCACTGTGTCTGAGCAATCCCCTTGTAACAGCTGCCCAGTGCTCACCTCAGAGGTATGCAAAGTTGCATGGCCCTGAGCCAGGTGGGACAGGGAGGGAAACAGCGTTGCTAGAAAGGAGCTGCAGATGGGGCAGTGGGGCCAGCGGGAATCAGGTTGGGGGTGGGGGTTGGGAGGGAAAGCATGGTGTTGGGTATAGTTTGGGGTGTCAGGGTGTGGAATGAGTAGGAGACCCTTAGGGTGGGGGCATGACAGTGTAAAACCATTGCTGCAGACCTCACACTCTCTTACTTATGGCCCCAATATGATTAAGGCTGGAAAACATTACAATTTTGTTTAATAAGAGTGTTGCCCTCAACAGTAGGCTCTGAAATGCCACATAGAATGATAAGCTTTATTTTCAAATGTAGTTAACTCTACTTTTGGGAAGGAGAAAGAGTATATTAGGATTTTAGAGTATTTTTTATTTATTCTTTCTTGACAGTGAATTGTTACATTTTTTGAATCCATCATTTCCAGGGTTGCAAACTCAATTTTTTTTTTTTACTGACAATCCACAGATTTTTTTAATGACACCCTAACTTTTTTACTATGGTTGGTGTTAAACCCCTAAATTTGAGCCCAGCCCTCCTAACTGCCATGATGTCTGGAAGAAGGGTTACATTTACATGATGTAAAACATATTTCAGTAAAAATGTGTCAGTAAAACAGTTTGGTTGTCAGTAAAAAGTTTGCAGCTTGTCAGTAAAAAAAAAAATCTTGGGGTGGCAACCCTGTTGAATTCTCCCAGGATAACCAGGCCATGCAACTTGGGAACTTTGCTTAGTTGTTTCAAAAAGCCTTATCCATGTTTTCATCCTGGTTTGGTGCTCTGTAGCAGACACCCACCATGATAACATAGTTCCTGTTCTCTCCTCTGCCCTTCCCTGATTGTACTAGGAATTCTAATTCATGCTTATTCCCTTTGCCTCTTGCATTGCTGTATAAATATTTTAGATAAATAATCAATTGCCCTCATTTTTTTCTGAAATCATTGTTAAGACTTCATGTATTGCTTCCTCTTACCTGGTTTTTATTCAGATCCCTCGGCTCTGCTTTTGGATTTTTTTGTCCATCCCCAGTAAACCCAGTTTAAAGTCCTTCTGAATACAAGCTTGCATGCAAAA